TGACCACGTCCCTCAGTGCCACATCTCGCCTCTTCTTGAACACCTCCAGGGATGGTGACTCCTACACCCCCTGTGCCAATACCTCATTACTCTGAGAATAAATTTTTCCAAATATCCAACCTACACCTCCCCTGGCACAACTTAAGGCTAGATGGTGTCAAAAATGATTTTAAAAATTAGTACTGAAAAATAGAGTGAGGATAGAAATTTTTGAGTCATGTCCTATGGAGGTGAGCTCTCCCCACCAACGGACAGGGCAGAGACATCACCTTGTGCTCCATGTCATAACCCACAGCCCAACGCAGCCTCTCGGCAGTCCAATTTTTGGCACTCTGTTATTGTATTTTACCCAGAGCCGAACGGCTTCAGAGTTGGCCAAAGGGCAAAAGGAAGGAGATCATCCCTTGGCTCGGTCTCGTGGGGACGTAGGCCTTCTGCACCTCCATCACATGTCATGGATGACACCACCCATGTCCACCAGCAAAGTGAGGGGCAGACTCCTTGTTGTGCTGGGTTTGTCTGCAGTTCAACCCTCCTCAGACCAGGAAAACCATCAACACCCATCGGGTCAGCCATGAATTTGTCTGGCCAAGTCTTCACTACATCCTGTGGTAGAGACTCCTGTATCTTTGGAGACCTCTATTTTTTCCTGATGTCCAACCTGAAGGCCTGAAATTTGTTATACCTTGTGGCTGTTGCCGCTTATTTTGTCACCTGGTGCTACCAACAAGATTTCAGTTCCATCACTTTTGTAATTATCCTTCCCAAATCAGTGTTGCCTCCTTGCCCCCAGACTAGATCAGCTCTTCTCTATCTGTCCACATCAGACGGGACCTGTGGGGCAGGTCCCGTGCCCCACATCTATGCTCATCTCAGTAGGAACCTCTCTGGCTTTCCACATCCTTCTTGGAGCTGGCAGGACAAAAAATCAGACACGCCAGTCCAAACACCTGGAGACAAGCACTGGAGCTTCATCAAAGAGCAGACAAGTGTTTGTTCTGCTTTGTCGATCAGCTTCACAGCGTGCCCATTTGCTGCAGAGCTGGGCCGGGTTTGTCTGACCGGTCACCACCGTGCCTGGTGCCATGTGCAGGAGGTTTCACCCACTTTTCTTTGTCTAGAAATGCTGCAAAGCATTAAGGAGAACAGAGCTGCTGCACCAATAGACTGACGCACAGCCTACGTGAAACTTTCCATTAGAAACACGTGCATGCTTCCAAAATAATTACCCAATTAGTTCAGGAAGGGACAAGAAATGACTTACACATGGTTCCCACATAAACGCTCCATCCCTGGTCCCCACCTGCTCCGGCCTGGCTCTTCCCCCTCTCCCACCTTCCTCTTCCTCTGCCAAAGGATGAAAGCTTGGGATTGAGGGAAGGGGGCTGGATGTTTGCAAGCTGGGGATCCCACTTGTCACCTCCAGCTTTCCCCATGCATAGCTCAGTGGTTGCTGGAGTGGGGCAGGGATGTTGGCGGTGAATCACCCTGTGAAGAAGATCCTCCCCATGCCACGGGGCTGCTCAGCTACAAAGAGAAGTGTACTTCACCCTTCCTTCAGCCTCCCCAGCGCCACCAGGAGAGCTGAGAGTCGGTGTTGTTGGCCTTCCTCCCCCAGCAGTGGGGGATGTGTGAGCTGGACAGGCTGAGTAAAAATGACCTAATGCAGAAAAGAATCAGAGAATGAGCAATGAGAGAGAGGGTTATAACAATGCTTCCCGTATGAGTTAGCAGCACCCAGGGGACTCCCACAGCCGCTGGATTTCCTGTCCTGGCAGCAGCCCAGCCTGGCTTACTTTGCTTCCTTGACAGACAGCATCTGAGTCTGTTATTTTTACTTCAGAAGTGTGTTATTTTCTCTTTTATTTGCTCCCCAGAATTTCTGCAGGAGCAACACAACGAATGCCAGCCCTGGAGCTCAGCAGCATTTGTCTTCCCAGCCCCAAGGCAAGGACATACGCCTGGTGGGCATCACTGCTTGCTGCTCCTCTGGGCAGGACAAAATCCCACAAAGGACAGCACTGAGCCCCCCAGGGTCACAGCTGGTAAGGACACAACCACTTCAATGCATCCCTGCACGCCCCCCAACCCAGCAGAAGCAAAAATCCCAGGGCAAACCCAGACCGACTCCATTGCCATGCGGGCAATCAAAGACCAGGTGCCCCCACAGCAGATCCTCAGTCACCTTCCAGGGAGATCAGCTACCCAAGAAAGAAGAATTTGATGTGGTCTCCACCCACCCACATCACTTGCTGAGCACAGCTAAGTGGCTCGCACAGAAGGTCAGCTGTTTGCCGGGGCAGGGGAATTCTCGTGTCTGCAGATTCAATATCTAGCTGCTGAGTGATGTTTAGTCTGTGGCTGTAAAGTAGCCTTGTTTCTATTCTGAGAATATTTGTCTAATCGGGGGTCCAAGGAATTATTCTGCTCAGTAGAAAGCTATGTTTATTTGGTTAAGTTCATGCTCCAGGATGGGCGCCTTGGAGAAGCCCAAGAAAGGCTGAGCAGCGCTGGAGCATCCTGGGACACAGCACACCTGTAAGGAAGGGAAGCGCTCCACTGATTCTGCACAAGAAAGAGAAGGGCTCCATTCTCCCAGCTGTGGGCAGCTCTGAAGTAGGGCTCACGTGCATTCCTCGTTCCCAGGTGCTGGGCTGCTCCTTTGGTGCTGCTGGGCAGACACACAGCTTGCTGCTTTCTCCCAGTAAGCCTCCATCCGCCACACACTCATCAGCCTACAGTATTTTCAGTTTCTATCTTCAGAACTTCATTCATGGATCACAGGTGACCCCAACACCCTTCTCTGGAGGCCTCAGCTGATGAGGCACTGGGCTGTGGGGTGTTTGAAGGGCGAGGATACATCACCTACAACAGGTAAACCTGATTTCAGTTCACCCCAGCCTCCTCATCCCTAACGGTGTGGGGAAGACATAGTGATAAACCCATGATTTCATGACATTTTCATCAGCCATCATCACCTCTTTCACCCATGCAGTCAGCACACGTTTTTGAACCCAACAAGATGATTGCTCCCATTTTCCCATTGAAATCATTTCTCCATGGCCCTTTGCCTCGTTGCTGTCTTTGTCCCAGTGAGCTCCACCCCACCAAGGCGCCGAGGGCAGATTTCCCCCTATTTGTACACCACAAACACAGCTGAGTTGTGACTACCAGCAACTGAGCAACCACAGGTTTATCTCCAAGATAAATCCCTGCTATCTGTTGAGATAAGGCCTGCTACAGCATCCCCTCATTTGGGGAGGGAGCAGCTTCCCCATTGGGAATTTGCCTACAGCAGCAATGTCCACAGAACCCACAGTTGGTGGTGTGCTGGGCACTGGCAATAGGATTTTCCTCCCCACGGCCATCCCCAACAAGGAGACCTCCATAACAGCCCCATCCATGAGCTGACGTCCCCCATCGCATCCCCACCAGCTGCTCCAGGTTTCCCACATCCCTCATTACCAGGGCATGAAGCCTTGGGGCGATGGCACAACAAGGACAAAGCTGAAGCTGCAGTGTCACCATAGGGTCTTCTGAGATGCATCCTTCCACCACGGGCAAGCACAGGGCAGTGCCATTTCCAGGAGAACACACACCTGATATCTCCACCTCTTACCCCAGCCCAGCTTCTCCCAGAGATCAGTGCATCTCTGAAGCATGTGGGGACAGTGTTTGCAGAGTGACTCACGCCAACCTGACGTGCTGGTAATAAATTCTATTACAGCAATAACCAAACTTCTACTGCTATTGCAGGGCTATTTCTGTCTTCACCAGGGAGTGCTCCCAGGTGTTCACATCTCCGTCTTTTGCACGCTGTCACCTCTGTCCTCGCTGTGACTGCCTGAGGCAGCTGGGAGTTGATGATGTGAACCTTGGCACCTGGCCCCTGCCCCATGTGTCCCGGTGCTGCCCCAGCCCTCGCCGCCCAGCCTGAGGGATGGGCTCCCATCCAGCACTCAACCTATGGGGATGTGACACTGGGTGCTCCTGGGCATCACCCAGCCACAGGAAGGGACGTGCATGGCACATGGCTTCCTTGGCAGCAAGAAGGCACTTTAAGGTTCCACAAAATGCCTCACAGAGACCCATGAAGCCCAGGAGGAAGAAGAGGATATGAAGGCTTTTGGGATGGGGAGGAAGAGAAGGTCCCGTTTGGAGGTACCTTTGCCCTACAGGAGATATGGGCACAGGGTGGTTCCTGGGACTATGGAGGCATCCTGGGCCACGTGCTGGGGCTTAAAGCAGCCAGGACAAGCTGCCTGGGCAGCAGGGATCAGGGGGCACCCTTACATCAGAAGAGGCTGGCAGTGCTCACGAGGACACTGTGCTGAGCCATCAGGCACCAGCAGCTCTAGCAACGGTGGCCAGGGAAGGGACTATACCTGCCATGGGGAGCTGTGCCCGTGGGTTAGGGGGCAGCCACACCATCCCTATCCCACTGCCAGCAGCCCCCACACCACACAGATGGATGGCTCTGTGAGCCACCCAACAGCACTGCATGGCCCTGTGATGCCACAGGCATACTGAACCACCCAACCCTGACTGCAAGCAGCCCCAGGGATGGGCATGAAACATCTCAACCACTGAATGCACAGGAACCAGCCCCTACAGAGCATTTTCCCTGCAGATCCCAGCTGTGCCCAGTCAAGCAGTGCAGCCAGGACGTGACACAGCGACACTGGGCTTTTTCCTGCTCCTTTTGATGTGTCCCATGGGGACTCACTGGTACACGAGGTCAGCCACATCTCTGGGCACTTCCTCATTCACAGGCCCGTGCCCCGCTGGGTACACACAGCAAACGCTGTCCCTGGGAACAGCCTCATTTTGGGCAAAACTCTCTGTGTTTCTGGCCTGAGCCTTTAACCCAGGAGCATCTGGCAGCTGCTGCAGCATGCAAGACAGCTCAGCATTTTGTCGGACCAGGTTTTCCCATCTTTAGTCATGTTTACGCTCCTCCAGCTCCACCAGCACGGAGAAACATACCATGAAGAAAAGGCTACAAGAAATTACATTCTCCTTTTATTTACCTATGACCATGACAATGTATTTTTGCTAGCTGCAGAGATGCTTCGCACTGTAAACTGGGCGCCCGGACGCATGCAGTCCATCCGGCTCCGCCGCGTTCAGCAACAGCCCCGCGTCTCCAAACGCAGTGTTGTGATCCAGAGTAGGGAGAGCACCGATTCCCAGAGCTGCTCATCTCCATCAGCAAGCCCTCCGTCGTCAGGGCAGGATATGTACACCCAGGCTCCCCCAGCGCTGCTAGGGAACACGTTATCAGTTTGTTGGTTTTTTTTTTTTTCCTTTTCTTTGTCAGATAAAACCTGCAAACTTAGAAAATGTTGCACGCACTCGTAAAAGAGAAGGCATCCACTCCACGGGAGAACTCCGCCGCGACACGCACAACTATTGCACTTGTAAATTGGGAACGAGGGTTTCCTATAACACAGCGATGCGTCCAGTGAGAGGAGGTCAATAAATAAACCAGGAATGAGGGGAGCGAGAAGCTCCTGCGGGATGGCTGCCTTGGGGCAGAGATGCGCAGCAGCACCGCGGGGCTGGGTTGGGTCAGGAGTCCTTTGTCCAGAGATGACGCCCACATCGGTGCTGCCTGGGGAAAAGCAGAGCCCTGCGTAAAAGCCTTCCTCCTCCATGCTGGGTCGGGATCAAGCGTCGCCATCCAGCCACGCTTGCAGCTCAGGTTCACAGTAGTCATGCGGGAGCTCCCCTCCTGGCTGACATCCGCCCCACGGCGTCGTACCAGCGATGGCAGGACGGGGCGATGGAGCAGTACCAGCCTGCTTGGCACCGGTGCCCCCACAGCCCCACACCTGGGGGGCACAGCCGGCTGCAGCGAGGTCCCCACCGCAGGTTCCATGTAAACACGCAGCTCCCAGTCTGCCCCGTTGCCCTACAGCGGGGAGCTGGCTTTCTTCTGGTGGACGATGTCCAAGTACAAGTCAGAGCGGAGGAAGCGGGGGTACGAGTCCTTCTCCATCAGCCCATAAATCCTCTTCTGCGCGAGGTCGAAGCAGCCGCGGGTGATGTTCTGCAGGTTCTCCTTGGTGTGCTCCCGTGTGTAGGAATCCAGGTTCACCTGTGGGCAGAGAGAGCAGTGAGCGGTCCCACGGGCCCCAGGGCACAGAGCTGGCTCCGAGCGGGAGCCGGCCTCACCTCCTTGCAGGACTGGATGGCGATGTACTCCGCAAAGATCTTCTTGGCCTTGGAGACCATCTTGGACTGGGATTTGATCTTTTTGTACTCCTCGCATGCCAGCCAGAACTCCAGGTTCTCCTCACTGAACTCAGTGCGCAGGAAGGCCCTGAAGGCTGCGAGCCCATCTGTGGGGACAGACACAGCTCTACTCCTGGGCAGACACACACCTCTATCAAACCCCAAATCCCTGCCATCTCACTCCCTAAAAATCCCCTATGAACAGCAGCAGTGCAGGTGGTGATGCCTGGCCTGGCAGCACGAACATGAACCACGTGTGTGCTCAGTGCCCACTTCTCAGCCATCTGGGCTCTCAAGGGGGATCTCAGCATGGATTGGGAGCTTGGGATGGAGATGGGATCCCCACAGGGACATGTAGACAAGGAAGGGAGCGCTGCAAAGCTGCTTCTGCCCCACAGACACAAGGCAGGCAGGGTATCCTGCCTTTCCCTCCCCAGTGGAGCTCCCACAGTCCTGAGCTCTCCCTGGCTCGTGCAATAATGTTCCCCCCTGAGTCTCCCCCCCAGCTTGGCAGAGGAAAAATGAGTGCAAGGAAAGTATCATAGAATCATATAATGGCCTGGGTTGAAAAGGACCTCAAAGATCATCCAGTTCCAACCCCCTGCCACAAGCAGGGTTACCAACCACCAGACCAGGCCACCCAGAGCCTGGGATGCTCCATTCCATCTCCATTCTCCCCAAGACACCAGAGCTGAGGAAATCACAGCGCTCCCCATGCACACACCCGGACATTCCTCAGTGGCAAAGGCAAAACAGAGGGGCAAACACTCACATTTGTGCAGCAGCAGCTTCTCCAGGGACTCCCCCCACTTGAGAGCTTCCTCAGGTGCAGGCCTGCAGGATGAGGGCATTTGTTAGCAGAGTGAAGCTGCAAAAGCCACAGCTGCTGCCTGCCACCACACAGCTGCCCTGGAGGAAGAACGCTTCCAGCAGCAGCAGCATCACTGTGCACCCTGCAGTGGCTGCAGCACCAACGGCACCCGCAGTGCTGAGCTGGCTGTGCTGGAATGAATGCTCTGCATTTAGGGTGGCAAGAAGAAAACATGAGGTAAGGGAGGGCCGTGCGTGCTGCAGCCTCTGAGCCAGCACTGGAAAAATCCCAGGCAGTGCCCAGGGCTGTGGGATTTCGGGTGCCCCAATGAAGCCGCAGGCTGGGCAGCGCTCATCCCAGCTGCTGGAGCACCTCCAGGGCTGAGCAGTTTCCCAAAGCATCCTCTGTCCAGCTGAAGGTGTCATGTTGAAGCACTGGGGGAAGGCAGGGAAATTTCCAGTCCCGAGTGCCACCGGCACGGGGCAGGGAGCTCCCTGCAGCCCAGGGCAGCATTCAGACAAAAAAAGTATTTAACACAGCTCAGGCACCGTGAGCTTCTGCCCACAACCTCCCCAGCTGGGTGACCCAGCATCCCCGGAGGTGGCACCAAGCCTGGACAGAGCTCATCCCCAAACGCCGTGCCCCCAGAGCCCCACACCGTCCACCCGCAGCACCTACTTGAGCGACTTGAGCACTTTGTCCAGCTTGCCAGAGGGGTTGGCTCCCGGAGACTCGTTCCTCCGCCGGAAAATCCCCAGCCGGTTCTTCATATCCTTGGCTCTGGAGGAGAAGATCAAAGTTTAGGGGCGGGCAGGGAGGGGAGCAGCTCCCAGAGGTGCGCGGTGCCACGGGGAGCCCTGTCCCGCTCATCGCCCATCACCTACTCCTTCATGGTGTGCCGGCGCTGCAGGCTGCCGTTGTGCGGCCGCTGCACGCCCAGCAACATTTCGGCGTGAAACTCCAACGGCTGCGGTTTGGAGAGGTCACGAAAAAAGGGCATCGTTTGTCGGGGCAGCTCCAGCACAGCCGGCACGCCCGGCCCGGCGCTGCGCTCTGCGGCTCCGCACCAGGACGGCGCGGAAGTGGGAGGGCCAAACGGAGCTGCGTGGCGTGGATGAGGTGTGGGTGAGGAGGGCTGTGTGTCAGCCCAGCGCTGCTCGGGACGGCTCCGCCGTTGCTGGGGAAACTCGAGGAAAGGTGGAAAAAAGCATGGGAGAGGGCGGGGAGATGGGGCCTTTCAAGGGACTGCGGGGAAAGTCATCGCGGCGGGGATTTACGAGCGCTATTTATAGGGCGTTGGGGAATGCGGCGGTGCGGGGCTGCGTCCCCTGTGCGGGGCCGGCAGCACGGCTGGGAGCGGCAGGGGCGGCAGCATCAGATGTCAGTTTGGAGTGGGCACGGCCGTGAGGACATCGCGGCGGGATGGTTGGGACGCACTGGGTAACTCACAGCCACGGCACCGCACGGTGCCAACCCCCACGCGTCCCCACGCTGCCGTCCCTGTACGGACAGACAGATGTGCGTCCGCGCACGGCGCTCCCGCTGCCCCGGGAAGCTGCCGTCGGAACGCAGCACCGCTGCTCAAACGAGCGGCGGCCACGGGCACCGGCGTTGCCCCAGTCCTGCCCGGCTCTCGGCGGGCAGCGGGAGGTGACAGAGAGAGCGCGGGATGGGCGATGCTGACCCCTCGTGGCACAGCTCCCGAGTGCACTGAGGATGATGGATGGTTGGGGACGCGGGGTGGCACGGCCACCTCCCGCAGGTCCCACGTCGCAGGGTGCTCGGAGGAGCTGCCGCTGCGTGTGGCTGCGGCCGGGGCTGGTTGGGAACGCGACGGACACGGAGGGGTTCGCGGTGTCCCCAGTTGTCCCCAGCTGCTGCCAGGCACCAGCACAGCACAGACACCGGACCGACAGATCTAAACGAGGAGCTCCAAACCCCACCTGCATCCCATTGGCAAGGCTCTAGCCGTCCCACACAGCTCCCAGCAACAATTTCAGCACTGTTCTCACTTCAGCAACATAGCCACCGCAGCTGGGAGCCTGGCGAGGTGTGAAAAGCACTGAAAAGTCCCTGTGTTTGTGTGTCTGTATGTCCATGTGTCCATCCGTCTGTGTGAGGGAGCAGCACCTGTGGGCTGCACTTTGTGCACCCTCTGCACCCACAGCTCTGCAGCACCAGGTTTCCCACAGCAGGAAGCAAAGCCCCAGAGGAGTCCCCAAGCTTAAAACCTGTGGAATGCTGTACTCTCAGCGCTCCTCGTGCAGATGCTCGTGAATAAACAGCAAGCAGCACACAGCCTGGCTGCTCCCGCTGCAGAGTGCACACAGCCCCTAGTAAGGTGCTGCCACAAAAATCCACAGTGCACTGCTGGGTTCGACCTGGATTCACCTCCATCAGCCGTCTGCAAGGCCTCGTCCAGCCCCGTCTCCCCATGCCACCTCCAAACCATCCCCTGCAGCGCGCATCGCCGTCCCCACAGGAGCGCTGCCCTACCTTTCCAGGCACTTCTCAGAAAAATCCACCATGGTGAGGTGCATCAGGAGCAGCTGGCAGTACCGAACCGCGGCCACTCTCCCCATAAATACCCCACAGGCCACCTGGCAGCCATCCCTGCAGCCAATCACCGCCCGCTGCGACGCACCGCGCTCCCACAGCCATCCCAAGGTGAGCGGCACAAACCCTCCCCACAGCCGCTCCCGCACCCTACAGATCCCCCCCCCCCCCGCCACCCCAATTCCCCCAGCTCACATGGGGGATGTCCCCGCTGCAGATGGCGAGGAATTGATTTTCATTTCGAGTGTTTGGAGAATGAAAGGAGCTATAAATAGGCGGCTGCGGCACAGCGCGCAGGGCAACAGTGCCGCTCACAGGCAGGCTGCACGCGGGGAGCTGCCATGGAGAGGCACACGCAGCAGCGCCGCAGCCACGTGCAGCACTCATCTGCTCCCACTCACGTGTGAGGGGCAATGCCAGGGCACAGCAATCCTGCCTTGCAAAACCCTGTGGCCCCACTGACCTGCAGCTGAGCTGCCCCGTCCTTGCCTGGACCAGCTGCGGGGCATCCCAAACCCTTAGTGCAGTGTAGGGACTGCAGCATCCCACCCATCACATCACAGTGAATGCTCCCAGCCACGCTGAGCAACATCACCAGCACTCGTCCCGCCCACCTCCCAACCTCCAGAAACTCTGGGTGAATGGGGCACGGTACCCCATGGGCTCAGCCCCGCTGTTTTGCCCATGGCACTATCGAACCGCAGTGTGCCACTTACAGGCTCCTGCTCCTCTTCTTGCGGGAGGTCTCATCCCCTTCATCACAGCTGCATTCGGGGTCGCCTCCACTCAGCTGGGGGGAAGAGAAAAGCGGTGTTTGCATCACAGTGCCATGCATGCCCTCACACCACCACGCAGCTCTGCCAGCATCTCCTGAGGTCCCCGTGCAGCAGCTCCTTCCCCAAAACATCTCTCTGCAGCAGAGCAGGGGCTGAAACCCTGACCCCCTCCCCTGCCCATGTCCTGGGGACATCCCACAACTGGTGGCCTGGGGACCCCTTGGCTTCAAGGTGCTGACAGCAGAGCCTCCTCCAGGGACGCTCACATCCTCCTTCCCAATGTTCCCATCTCTGCTGTCGTGAGTGGGCAGGGGGCTGGGGCACCCAAAATACTCTGGGGATCTCCCAGCAGTCCGCAGGCAGGAAAAATCACAGCAGAACTGAACCGTAACATGGCAGCTTCCTATCCTCAACCTCCACACAGAGGTGACCTTGGCAGCCATGGGGACCTCGGAGATGCTACAAGGTCAGGGTGTCACCAGCACAGCCTCTGAGCCACGAAGGCCAATGGCCAGGCATTGGGCTACCTTTGCTTGGAGGCTTTGCTACCTCTCTGAGCACAGCTGGAAGGGGACTCACAGCCAACCCCACAGCCAGCCCCACAGCCAGCCCAGCCCCACACTGCTTCCTCGGGGCGCTTTCCAGGATTGCCAATCCGTGGCAGTGCCGTGGGAACCCACTGCATGGCCCTGCAGCCCCGGGCTCAAGGCTTCTGACACTTCCTTCCATTCTGCGCCCGGGTTTCCGGAGTTTATCAGCCCCAAACAATGCAGCCCCTGCAAAATGCCTTCCCCCCACAGATAGGGCCGGCCGGGGCGACGCGCAGCCGGGCCACGCTTCCTGCCATTGTCTGGGGAGGCTCCGCTGAGCTTGGGGACAAAAAGCAACCATTGCCGAGTCCCAGCACTCCTGGCTGTAAAACAACAACCTGCCCAGATTGAGAGCAGTGGGAGGCACAGGGAACCGTGGGCACAATGGGATGATCCCATAAATAATCCTGCTCGGTGGACAAGGCCACTGGGTGCCGTAGTACTGCAGGCAGTGCTGGGCCTGGGGGGATGCAGAGGGGAACTGTACATCAGTGCCGGATCTGGAAAGCATGGAGGGTTCCACTGGGCTCCTCCAAAGGCACAGAGCTCTAAAAGTCCCTCCCAAGTGTAGGCTGTGACACAAAGCCCCGTGTGCATGGTGGCTGAAGCAGGGAGAGTTGGCACGGGAGGAGCAGGCAGGGGACCAGGGGGTCCAAGAGCAAATTGTGCTCCAAGAAATGGCAACCAAGGTGGCTTTTGATGTATCAGGAGAATGGCATAGGGAGGGTTAATCCCATCATGGCTTTAACCTATGGTGCTGTCATGCTTGGTGGCACACAGAGCTCTGCAACACCATCCCCTGCCAAGAGGTGGAGCAGCATGCAATGCAGTCCCAAGCACTGCAAGGTGCTCTCAAGCAGTGTGATGTGGCCCTGAGCCAAGCAGCATGGTTACGAGCTATGCAACAAGGCCGCAGGCTCTGCAACATTGTGCTGAGCCATACAACATGGTCCAACGCCATGCAATGTGATCTCAGCCTATGCAACAAGCTCCTGAGCCATGCAGCAAGTTCCCAAACCACGCAGTGTGGTCTTAAGCCACACAGTGCAGTCCCAAGCAGTGCAAACTGTGCCATGCAGCCCTGAGCCAAACAGAGCCCTGCCCTGCAAGGTCAGGCAGAGCTGGCTGCTGGGAAGGCACAAGGGCAGTTCCACAGCAGGAATGGGGCAGCAGCACATCTCACACACCATCACTGCAATGGCAGTTCAACTCCTATAAATACTTGCGATGCCAAAGCATGGCCAGTTCCATGCAGAGCTGCATGCTCCTGTATGTGCCAGCACTGCTCTCCAGTGTCTGATGCACCACAGTTCCTCCTCAGCCTATTCAGGATGGGGTCTGCAAGGACCAAAGCCCTCTAGGAGGCCAAGCAGTGCACTCAGCTGCTGGTGTCCCTGAGCAAAGCAGAGATGCACAGTCAGGGGAGGCTCCCTGGAGCCCAGCTCCTGCCTGTCCCTGCCACTGTGAGCTGCAGTTTGCACATCCAAACATCTCTTCCTCTGTGCATCTCAGCAGACAGCAGCTCTGCAGCCCATGGGATCTGTTGACACCATGGAAGATGCTGCCCCAGCACCTGGTGGCATCCCCAGGGTGCTGTGTCCCCTGGAGCTGTAGATGGGACACCCATAGAATCATAGAATGGCTTGGATGGAAAGGACCTTTAAGATCATCAATTTCCAACCCACCTGCTATAGGAAGGGACAATTCCCTTTAGACCAGGTTGCTCACAGCCCCATCCAGCCCGGCCTTGAATACCTCCAGGATGGGAGCATTCACAACCTCTCTGGGCAATCTGTTCCAGTCCCTCACCACCCTCACAGTAAAAATTTCTTCCTAACATCTAGTCTAAGTCTACCCTCTTCCAGTTTTAAGCCATTTCTCCTCATCCTGTTGCTACCTGCCCTTATGCTCCTTGCCAGCTGAGCCACGGAGTCATGGAGAGCAGAGCCACACACAGGGAGATCCCCACGCTGGAGACATCACCCATCCCAGGGCCAAGCTGCAGAGCCAACACCAACCCACATACCTTCCTGTGCCCCGAGAAGAGCAGGCTGAGCTGGTGGATGGAGCCTCCATTCTTGGTGAGCTCCTTCTTGAGAGTCCTGGGGGAAGGCAGAGCCCAGTGCCCCGTGCTGCCCTGGCTATCTGAGCAGTTGAGCGTGGTGTCGGAGGTGAAGCAGTGCCCCTTGGCCTCCTGCAGCAGGCTGCCCTCGCTGTGTGTGCGGCGCCGCAGGGAGCTCTGCACGCTCAGTGTGTACGCAGGCTGGCAGCCTGATGTCTCAATCATGCTGCTGCGCTTTGCCTCGCTCTGCTCCAGGTAGTTCTCGTCACTGTCATCCTCTTCATCCTCATTGTCCTCTTCTTCGTCATCCTCATCTTCATCCTCCTCATCTTCACCATCTGCGGTGCCACCAGCTGTGCCCACCATGCTGAAGGAGCTGTCGAGGCGCAGCTCGGGGATGACGAAGGCCGGCACAGAGCTGGGCTGCTCTTCACTTTTCTCAGCGGCCGCTGGCTGCTTTTTGGCCAGGAGAGGCCCCTGGGCAGCTGCTGGAGCCTCGGATGGAGCCGGCACCTCTGTGGCCGGAGGAGCATCGCCTGCAGCCGCCCTCCTGTCCTCCAAGTGCATCTGCCCAGGATTCTCGGCGTCCGTCTCCTGCATCTGCCCCAGGAGAAGATAAAGGAGGATGAAGGCAGGAGCACCCAAGTCTCTGAGTGGCAGCCCTCCCGTACAGCCTCTCCACTCCTAACACCCAGCACAAGGCAGGGGTGTTCCTACAGCACTGACTGGACTCCAGCAGTTGGGACAGCACTGCCCCCCGCGGTCCCACAGCCCCCAGTCCCAGTCCTGGTTCCCAGAGCACCATGTCCCCCACTGTAGCTATGGGGTGGCAGCAGGATGGGGCCACCTTCCTGCAGCACTGTAGATGAGTGGGTTTGGAGAAAATAGTGGGCAATAGGGCCGGTGGCTCCAGCACAGAGGCAGAGCTGCAAACATCCTTACCGCGACAGATCCCTTGTCCTGCTGAGAGTCAGCCCTTGGGTGGCTGCAGCAGAGGATGGGAAAACCCAAAATGCAGCTCCAGCACCTCCTGCCCTGCGTTCTTAAGGGCAGGAGGGAAGTGCCAGGCTCTGCATATCATCCAATTGTCCAAGGCTGAGCAGCTCAGCCCCCCTGGCCCACAGCCACTGCTGCGGGGCTCCCCGCAACCACACACAGCGCTCCTGCTAAACCACAGCCACTCCTATCCACCCTGCTTGGGTTTTTATGCTTTCGAGGCTGCCTTCTGCCAGTGAGTGTTGCCCTTTCCAAGGGAAAAGCCTGGGATAGTCCAAGGGGAAAAACTCGCCTGGATTTTTCATGAGCTGGGGGAACTTGTCATGAGAGCAGCTGTATCCCCATTTAAGCCAAGCATTTTCAAGAGCCTAAAGAAAAGCAGAAAGCTGGACTTAACAAAGCCTCTATTCCTGCATAATGCAGACTTGATTCAAAAATGAGATGGGAACCATCACATCCCCCTGGGAAGGGACATTCACATCCCATGGCTGCCAATGCTTTGTGCTTTCTGTCATCCCAAAAGGTCCCCTCTTACATCTACGACCATGGAGAGGACCAGGTTCTGTCCCCTTGCAGCCTGCCCCGCAGCAGCCAGTGACTCAGCATTATCTGAACTGTCCCAGAACAGTTGGATTTGGTGGGAGGAACAAAGTGAACCCCATCCTTCAGGCTGTTTCACTCCCCACAGTTATTTCTTGCAAAAGGGAATGTTTCCAGACATGCTGTGTGAGGATGCTGTTTGCACTGAGTGTTCTGCTGATGCTGTTTATGTCTTATTTGTATTGCAATCACTGTCATCATTATTTCATGAAATAATTAGAGGAAAAACCCATGCAGCCCTCAGTCCAACTGCAAAGCCTTCCCCATCCCTGACAGCTCCCTTCTGCTGAACGTTGCTGGGTGCCCACATCAGATAAGGCTCTAGAAGGAAATGAACAGGCTCCTTTAAAATGAGAGAGATTTGGGGATGAAATTAAATTCCTGCACTAATTCAGAGAATCTGCTGCTGTTCAGTGGCACGGAGATGTGAGCAGGAGGCTCACCACTGAGCAAGGTTTCAATCTTGGGTTGGAAGTGCTGCTGGGGCTGTGAAATGCTGTCATTGCAAAAAGGGCCATGGCTGAGCTCCTGGTGGTGGGATAAGACAGCAAAGGAGCAGGGCAGGAACACAGTCATGGTCGGTCAATGAGCCCAACCAAGGCTGGAAGGACTGAGGACTTCATCAGCACAAAGCCAAGGGGCACCATGCTGGGCAAAGCCCATGTGGGGCAGAGAGACAAGGCTGTGGCCAAGTTTCCTTCTTACCATCACCACGGCCAAGGGGCTACAGAAGGAGACAGCAAACAGAGGCAGGGCTGATGCTGTCTCAGCAGGAAGGTGAAGGGGACACATGTCCTTCCAGCTCGAGGACACCACCAAAACACCCCAAGATCTCCCCAGTAAGGGTTCCTCTCCCTTGGCCAGCGTCAGTGGCTTTGGAGCTAGCAGCTGCCATCTGATCCACCCACCCTCAAGATCTGCTTGCCCATCCTCAACAGCTTGGCTTCACTGCCCTCAACATCTCATCACCTTGCTATCAACATCAGGGTCTGGGTCAACATCTGGCTCTTTCATCCTCAACTTCTGGCTCTCCCTGACCTGAGCAGAGTTGCTGAGGAGCCTTCCTGCCTCCTCCCAGAGGACCTCACACATCACTCTTTCAGTTTCTGTTCAGACTATATTGCCAAAGCTGCATGTCCCAAGAAGTGGAACAGAAAGTAGAGGAAAGAGCTGTCTCCAAGCCCCAGCACAGCTTTCTGGGATTGTTTTAGGGAACAATGATGCTCACTCTTAGATCAACAGAGTCCCTAATGCTTTCCCCATTGAAGAACCCTCAACACACCTCAAAAATGCCAGACTTTGCCCTGCCTACTCCAGCATCTTCAACCCCACACCTGTAACCACTGCCTGGACTCCCTCTGCCTTTGGGCAACCTATCATTCACTGAGACAAAGGTTTTGGACAAAGGTCCCTCCATAAGCAAGAGGGAGGACTATGGCAAACCTCTGCTCTTTGGTCCGTAATTTGGTGAAGTTTTGTTCTGGTTGCTGCTGCACTGTTACCAGCAGAGCACATTTCAACCAGCAGATGTATTTTAAGCATAGCCTCAACTTCTCCAGCACTGCTGCAAACAGCATGCCCTTTGTGGTGGCCCACAGCTGGGAATACACCAGCCATGGCAACAGTACAGCTGTGGGATGAAGCCTTCCTCTTATGTCACTGGTTCTCACACGAAGCCTACTCTTGTTTGGAAGTGCCCCCAGCCCACTCATCCTAAAAAGGGCTTAACCCCATGGCAATGAGTCCATGTCCCCATCCAGGGAGATTCTGAGGAGGACACAGCATGTTCCCTGAGCAGCAGAACATCCCTCCCTTGGGGCAGATGGAATGAGAGTGAAGCACCTCCATGGAACAGTACAATGGCTTGGGTTGGAAAGGACCTTAAGGGTCATCCAGTTTCAACCCCATGCCTTAGGGCCCCCCTGCTGTGAGCCATCACACAGGGAAACACCAAAGTTTCCAAAATATGTTCTTCCCAAAGTGGTAGAAAAAAACCCCACGCTTTCAGGGGTTTTTAGCACAGGATGAACTGTGCCCAGATCTCATTAGACACTTTTAACTGTTGTGCCCCCCATAATGCTCCCAAAACCATTGATGCTGAATGTCTCAAAATGCAGTAAGTGACCATAACAGATGGACTTCATACAGCTGTGGGAAGCAGCACCCTACACACAGCACGGGGCCGAGAGGACCAAAAGGAAGCCAGAAACTTAAAGCAGAACTACTGAAACTCAAGAAAAATTTCATGGGTCATTTTGAAAGTGCTCCTGAGCATCCCCTCATTGCAGCACCACTCTTGGCCCCATCACCAGGCCCTGCACACAGCAGGGTGTTCTACCCATCCCCTGCTTCATTACTGCGCCAATGAATAATTGATACAGAGCAATTACTGTAACAGCAAAAGCAAGCAGGGATGTATAATCTCAAGCAGCAGGACTCATGCTGTGGCAAAGCAGCGAGGGTAGATGGATGGCTCCAGTGAGACCTATGGAGGTGTGAGTGCTCACGCTGGCCAAAAACTGCTGAGAACACCTGGGAGCCCTGCAAGGAGGAGCTGTGCTCCGTGGGAGGAAATGACCCCACAGCAGCAGCAGCGGCGCTAATCCCATTACTGCCATCACCAATTGATGGCTCTGGAAATGGGACCTGACCGGGCATCGCCCAGAGCTGTCGCTGTGTGTGGGATGGAGCCCAGCTGGGAAGTTCTTGCACTCCACGTTTCGGAATCAGATGGCTGAAGGTGTCAGCAAACAGCGTGGGACAAAACCTCCCTGTGCCACATGCTTTGGTTCATGTAGGCTTGCCACCGACACAGCACCGAGCCCAACAGCCCTGGCCATCCTGGCCCCCAACCCATCCCTCCCTCCCCACAAGCACACACTGCTTTCAGTAGCAAGGGCTGAATACGTTCTCTCTCTGCCCAGCACCAGAACACAGAGGGTTTCCAAAATCCCTGAAGCAGAAAGTGTGCATGTGGGCACACCGCGCTGCCGCCAGCCGACGTGGAGCTGGTGGTACAGCCCTGATCTGCAGGAGAATCTCAGAAAGTCCCTAATGCTGCAAACATCCCCTGGTCCCCCATGCTGCTCATTACCAGCCTTCCCAGTGCATCCCAAAGCCAGATGTAGTCATGGGACCCCCAGGAGACAGCGAGGCTCAGCCCAGCCCAGCCCAGGGGAGCAGAGCAGACGCATTTGATTTAAAGGACACTGGCGCTGCCTACAGCACGGCACAGACCTGCCTAGAAGAAGGCACAGCCTGTGGGCTGCAGATGTTGCAAGCAAAACGTACCAGATGTGGGCTCAGTTGCATCCCAGCCAGAGCAGCATCTCCCTCCAGCTCCAGCCCCGACGTGTGCCTGCAGCTCAGCGCTGCGGATGCTGGTGCAGCGCTTGGCTCTGCCTCCACCGTTATTAATGTCTGTCAGGCAGTGGCTGCCGCCGCCCCAGCCTCTCCCAGACACCACTCCCTTGTGCCCCGCGTGCTATTTGCAGCTCTGTGAGCCATCCCTGGAGGCTTGGTTACCTGCTGATCCCAGCAGATGTCCGCTCTGCCTGGAGGGAGAGCCGTGCATCACCCTGAAACCTACTTCACAGCTCCCCTTCTCCTGTCCTCCTCTGCCCCTGGGCAATGCTGAGCCTCAGACCAATTTTGGTGCTGCTTAATGAAACTCTGCTTCAGGTGGGCAGCTTTTTTCTTTCCAAACTACTTTCTAAGGGGAAGGGGCAGGTATGAAGCAGGAGATGCTTTGCAGTGCAGTGTGCCATGGGTTACCTGCACTGCAGCACCACACGCTGATGGATCTCCACCCCTGTGAGTTCAGGGGTGTCACCGCCCCAGGGTTCTCCATGCCTGTGTGCCCGGCTGCTCCCCTAGCTCAGGATTTGGAGATATGGCTCTGGTGTGCCCAAACAAAGCACCAGCCGTGGTCTGCAGCCTCCCTGATTGGGAACCCAGGGCTGGAAGGCAGTGAGATGACGTCTGGGTCATAAATATCCCTGACA